ATCATCATCACCACCATCCCCATCATCACCATCACCACTATCACCACCACCATCACCATTATCATCATCACCACCATCATCACCAACACAATCACCACCACCATCATCATCATCATCACCATCACCATTATCATCATCACCACCATCATCACCATCACCATCACCGTTATCATCACTGTCATCACCATCATCACCATCACCACTATCATCATCACCACCATCACCACTATCATCACCACCATCATTATCATCACCATCACCAACACCATCATCACCACCAACATTATCATCATCACCATCACCACCATCACCATTATCATCATCACCACCATCATCATCATCACCATCACCATTATCATCATCACTGCCATCACCATCATCACCATCACCACTATCATCATCACCATCACCACTATCATCACCACCATCATTATCATCCTTACCATCACCACCATCATCAGCAACAGCAGCACCATCATCACCATCACCATTATCATCATCACCACCATCATCATCACCAACACAATCATCACCACCATCATCATCATCATCACCATCACCATTATCATCATCACCACCATCATCATCATCACTGTTATCATCGTCACTGCCATCACCATCACCACTATCATCATCACCACCATCATCATCATCACCATCACTGTTATCATAGTCACTGCCATCACCATCACCACTATCATCACCACCATCACCACTATCATCACCACCATCATTATCATCATCACCATCACCAACACCATCATCACCACCATCATTATCATCATCATCAACATCACCACCATCACCATTATCATCATCACCACCATCATCATCATCATCACCGTTATCATCATCACTGCCATCACCATCATCACCATCACCACTATCATCACCACCATCATTATCATCATTACCATCACCACCATCAGCAGCAGCAGCAGCACCATCATCACCATCACCATTATCATCACCACCATCACCATCATCATCGTCACCACCATCATTATCATCATCCCCATCACCAGCACCATCATCATCATCACCACCATCAGCACTGTCACCATCACCATTATCATCATCATCATCACCACCATCAACACTGTCACTACTGTCACCACCATCAACACCACCACTAACATCACCACCACTATCACCATTATCATCATCACCATCACCACTATCACCACCATCACCATCACCACCATCATCACCATCACCACCATCATCACCATCACCATTATCATCACCACCACCACCATCATCACCACCACCATCATCACCATCACCAC